CATAAACAAGTTCATCATCATCAAACCTTACAACATAGACATGAACATATATTTCAATGAAAAAAATATTAAGAATGCTTTCGGAAGAAAGTAATTGTATCCATTTTCTATGCCAAATCGACTAGTAACTATGATCTTTGATAGTGTATTATTGAAACAACAAGTGTCTAGTCTGTCATAACGCAACAAAAAGCAGTTTAAAGTCAGCACCAATATGAATCTGATGGCAGTAACGTATTGTTGTGCATTGGTATTCAAGCATTGCATCTTGCATAGCAAGGTGGTATACTTCCAGCACAAAATCCCATATTCTTTGCACACCAGTCAGCGGTGCATTCTGAGCATGATTGGATTGAACGCATCTGACAACTGGGACTTGTTAATACGAAACAACATTTGCATGAACCATTACTTGATACAGTTGTTGCAGTTGTAGACGGATAAGAAGTGGAACTCATAGGCGGTTGAATCGATTGTTGTGTCGACGAGCTTCCACCACCTTGGCACAGCCATTCTGTAGGACAATCAGGTCGGCATTGAGCGTACCATTGAGAGCGCCATTGACATGAATATTCCGAGCAGATTCGCGGTCCATTCCATCCTTCTCCACCACACTGTTCCCATCCTCGTGCAAAGCCCGCACCACCAGGGTTGCTTTCCGCACCGGAACATTCCCAGTCAATTCCAGGACAGCTTGTTTGACAAGATGAGAACCAGCGAGATCGGCGAAAGCATCCAAGAGACCAGTCACAGTTGGTCGGACCTGTATAGCCCTCGCCACCACATTGATCGTAGATACCAACTGACAAAGCAGGAGAAGCGAAAGACACGAGCACAAGTGCAAAAATGGAATCAATCATGTTTCTCATTTCTTCTTGTTGTTTTCGTTTTCATGTGACTATTGCACACGACAAAAGCCTATTTATTATCGACAGTTGCTTGGATTTAATTACATTTTTGACACATAACGAAAGATTAGTGCATGCATCTGTTCGCACATCTAATTTGATTTCATTTTCAGCATTCAGAAAAAAAAGAGAGATGCACAGGAAAGAGAAGTGAGATTTTTTTTTGATTTCTTCTCGCACACCTGCAACGGCTTTTCTCGTACATATCTGACTCTCCAATTTGATCTCGCAATAGGTCGCTATGGCAATAACGTGCACAAATTGAAATTAGTAGCTGCGTTACCCCAGATTGATGAATGTGTTGATAATGTATTCAAATCGAAGTTCGTGATTGTCTGTATTTTTCAAAACGGACGTGTTGTTGGCTTAACTGAATAAAAAATGCAACAAGCACAAAACTGTACTTCACATTTTTCTGCTTAAATTGCGCATTTTTTTCTAGTGGTTGGTAATCAAATAATATACTGTTCATCTGAAAACGTCAGCGTTATAATCAACAAGCTCTTAAAAATGATCCCATGATAAAGTCGGCGATTGGGTATCAACAGACATTCTACTTGGAGTCTGAGAATACACTTTGCTAATGCTATACGTATTGTATCTACCGAATTCGGATATTCTGTCACACACTGTTTAGAAAAGTGACATTATGATAGAAATCGATTCGGTCGGATATTCATACAATATCATCATAGTTCAAATGAGTCTGTTATTTTTTTCATCGTTTTTCGAGATCAGACGCATCATAAACTAGTGCGAAATCTGTCTCAGCAAGTGAATTATATGTCAATTCGATGAAACAGATTCTTTCATGAGCAGAGTACCTAATTATCACACACGAACAAAATATTACTCAATTGTTATTCATGTTGCCTAATCGAATTGAGCAACGAAGCATTTGGACGGACACAATGTTTTTCCAGTTCATTAATTTCTTTATTGATCAAGCGTCAATTCAATGCCGTACCATTCTGTTCAGCTTGTTTGGAATTTCGAGCTTCACCAATCGGAATGACACCTTGATCGAAGAGAAAGAGATTATGGTCAAAATCGATAGATAGAGAATGATAATTTTTTTTTGTTTTGTCTATCGGTCATGAAGTGATACTGCAATAATAATAAGGGAATTCTCATACGATGAAATATCCACTAGATGATGAAATCAGACAAGGGAAATGCGTAAAACAAGTTGGAATTAAGGTGATTAGAAAAAAAAGGAGGAGCTCAATATGCACATAGAACAGAAAGAGAAGATACTTATCGATAGAGGATAACAGGAAAATACGTATACAAATAAAACAACAGAAAAGAAAACGACACAGAAAGAAAGAAAGTAAGGGTGTGGGGTGTGGGTGTAGTTTTGTTGTGACAGTGAACAGAACAAACACACCCATACCCACATTCAACTTCACATCCACGTCCAGACCCACACGTCCATCTACAACCTACATTCGCATCCACACCCATTTATGATATTGGTTTACAATTATCGTACACAGATTCTTACAATGATTTACGAACGTCGTGGACGGCAACTGTAAATGAAAAAATAACTTTTTGTATAAGATGTTTGTCCCATGGAATGGGTGGGATTGGATGGAATACTTTCAGGAAATTCCTCATCTCACAAGATAGAATTTTTCTCAGAAATTTTTCGTTCCATGGGATAGAATTATCCCATGCCACATGAAGTCCTGTTGTACATAATACTGATTGCACAATTTTGATTGTAGTAATACGTCATTTTGTATTTAGTGACAAGTATGGAATTCTCCAATCGGTGAAAAAAGGAAGAGAACGTTATTAAAAAAGGGAAATTGACATTATATATAGGCAACGAATGCTATAGAACGATCGACTTCTTATCTTATGCAAACTGGTGACTATGCGAGAAAAAACAATAGCTTGCTAAAAGGTATTGAAAGAGGGTATAAAAAAAGGTTTGTTAAGCAAGAAAAAATTCATCAGGTGACGCAGTTTCATTTGTGTTATAGTGACTTAACTGTTATGGCAGCCTTCAAATTTATTCGGAGCATCTTCGAACCAACTGACGATGAGGATGATGTTATGCCACATGTCAAGTCAGAAATTGTGCATGGTTTAAATCAAGATTTCAAGGGCAGTATTGCTAAAGGTTTTTCGAGCGATTTAGGTGTAGGTTTACATGCCGGGTTTCATGTAGGTTTTGACAGCAGTTTAGGTGCAAGCGTCAAGGGCAGTTTAGGTTCACAGTTTGTTGATCTGAGCAACACCAGTGGTCTCATACGACGGAAATGGAGCTCAAGTGCACCGAAATGGCGAAAGGCAGCACCCGGTATTTGTCTTGAGGGCAAGTGCAACAATTCATCTTGTGATGCGTACCAGAAGGCTGTGATTATTAATATAGGATTAAGAAAATTTGACTATCTCCAAGATATTACGAAAGATACATCAAAATGTCCTATGTGCTCTAAATATGTCGAACCAATTACATGCGCTTTTAATAATTGTTACTGGAGATGGGAAGGAATAAAACAACCTCAACGTGGTATGCCACCGGAAGAGATCTCCTCAAACTGGAAACTTGCTGATGATGCCTATCACGTATTCGATGAAAATATAAGTGACACAGTTGTATGGCGAAAATTGATCATTGAAGCAAAACGAACATAGCGATGAATTTGCTTTGAATTTGATGTATATGATATTACTAAAGTGAAAACGGTCAAAAGTCCGAGTAAAAATTTGATTTTTTTTTCATGTATTTTCGAGAATAAAAACCGAATTTTCACTGAATAATTTACTTCTTCATAAAATAGTTACTATGCTACTATGGACTAAAGCTCTGAGGGAAAAACTTGCTTTTTTTCTTTGAAAGAACGGGGAAAAAAATCAAACGTTCTACTCGGACTTTTGACCGTTTTCACTATAGTATTATATGCGTTAAACTAGAATCATTCAAACATTTATGCTTTGAATAATTTACTATATAATGTATGCACTTACATTTCAACATGATAGAAATAAACTTCATTTATTCATCATAACACCATTTTTCACTTAGATAAGAGGTTCCCGTATGAAAAATTCATTTGGCCTATACAATTTAACTAGATACTCCCATGGGTAGGTAACCACAAAAAGCACAAAAGGCTTTTAACAAAATTAAGATTAGTTGATAAGATTTTCTAGATATCCCGATTTATTTTATTTATTTCAATATTATTTATTCATATAATTTTGTTGCGTTTCCCTTGATCCCACGTTTGAAAAACACAACTTGATGTTCCACAGTGGCCTATAAATAACTTTATAAAAGAAATTGAATATATTCATCCTGTTTCAATCGAGTTGGCTAATTCTGTTGTCGATGATAGACTGTTCCAAGTTGCTGTTAATTTAAAAAACACATTAATAGGGTGTAGTTTTCTCTTCATTGACGCCAAGCCCCACACCCACACTTTCATATATCGAGAGTGTTTTTTCGACAATAAAACATTTATACGATAATAAACGAAATCGTATGCCAACAGAATTAATCGCAGCTGAACTAAAAATTCGTTTAAATTCATCTTTATCGTGGACAGAAGTTTATGGTTTTCTCTTGTCCAAACCAGAATTATTGAAACTTGTTCATTCTAATGAAAAATATTGTACCAAGGAACAATGTGTAAATTAATAGCGAAATATATAATTGATAATTTCTTGCTTATCGAGTTATTTGTCTTGATGTGTGTTTTATTTTCTATTGTTTCATTCGAATATATTTTGTTAAGATAAAGAATAACATTATTAATAATCTGATGAGAAAAAATGCACTTTAAACAATCAAAACTGACCCTAAAAAAACTTTCCGAATTTTTTCCGGATTTCAGAAAAAAAAATTCTGAAATTCTCCGGATTTTAAACTTTAGCATCTGGCAACACTGGATCGCACACTTACACCCTTTGTTGGGAAATAGATAATGTAAAATAAATGATTGAAAATTTTGGTGATCAAAATGCTGTCACTCAACAATTACATATATTGTAGTGTGATAAAGAATGTGATGCTTGATGCAATGCGAAGTTTTTATTTATTTTATTACATACACGTATACACGCTTCGGCGGTGTGGGTGTGGGTGGGGTGGGATGTTGGTGTGGGAGGGTGGGATGGGGTGTGGGTGTGGGGTGTGGGTGTGGGTGTGAGTGTGAGTGTGGGTGTGTGCGGGTGTGGGTGTGGGGATTCGCTTCAACTACATCCACACCCCACGCCCGCACCCGCGCCAACACTCACCCACACTCACCCCATACCCACACCCGCGCCAACACTCACCTACACTCACCCCACACTCACACCCACACTCACACCCCATCCTATATTAACTTTACATTATTCGATGAGAAGCCTAAATTCAGTTCTTGTTATTCATCATGTTATGATGGTTTTATTAACTTCTATCTAATTTAATATCAACAAATTAAAACTTACATCCTATAGAACAGCAGCGTGGAAATAGTCAAGGATGATCTCTTTGAGCTGAAGACAAAAGAAGCTATTTGCCGATATATTAAACGTAGTAATGAGTTAATACTTAAAGAAATCATTACAAATCTATCAGAAATGTATGACCATCAGAATGTATATCAGCAATGAGTCGTCATCTTCATCGACGTGATCATAAAAGGCTTTTTTCTCATAGTATATACTTTTGCTATACTAACGAGGGAACGTTCCCAACTGTTAATCGCCGATCGAAGTGATATTTTGCCCACAAGTAGGACTCAGTGAGACCAGGAAAAGTCTAAAAGGATTCATCCCCATAGGCCTTCCTTCTGGAGTTATGACCATTTTATGGACTTTCCGGCTTATGAGAAGCTATTCATAAAAAATTGAAAAAGAAGGAATTGCCACCTGAAGTTTTGCCCATAAGTAGATCTTATGATCTTTAGGACATCCTGAAAGCTTCAGTCAAAACGGATCGTTCCTTCTCGAGATATTGAATATTCAAAAAAACGATCATATGTCACAAAAAAGGTTATAAAAACGACTTTTCTTTAGTATTCAATATCTCGAGAAGGAACCATCCATTTTGACTGAAACTTTCAGGATACCCTAAAGGTCATAAGACCTACTCATGCGCAAAACTTCAGCTGGCAATTCCTTCTTTTTCAATTTTTTATGAATAGCTTCCCATAAGCCGGAAAGTCCGTAAAATGGTCATAACTCCAGAAGGAAGACCTATGGGGACAAATCCTTTTAGGCTTTTCCTAGTCTCACTGAGTCCTGCTTATGGGCAAAATATTACTTCGATCGGCGATTAACAGTTGGGAATGTTCCCTCGTAAGACAAAAAGTGCCGAATACAATAGGCGAAGCAATACCAAAATGATGAATGGAAGCATGATGAAGTATACAGTTGTCCTCGAAACATTATGTAGAGAAAAGAACACTAAAAAATTTTGGTGAACTTGAACATTTATAGTTGAAGAATTAAGAAAATGCTAAAAAGTTGACTTAAAAAAATTCCGTGGCGTGCATAGAAAACAAATCTTTTTCTGTTTTATCTTCTAAAGCCGAGCGAATAAAATTTCAACTTATGGTGCCGTATAGTAATGTTTCTAGACTACCAAATATAATGTGAGATAAGTCAAGCTGGCAGTGAACTCTTTGAATACGGGTGAGGAGAATTCTCGTCCTGTAATTTCAGGCTCTGAATAGCTTTCAAAAACATTATCTGTTGATTATTCAATGATATGAATGCATGTATATTTGTGTTTAGAATATTTGTGCGATTAAGATTAGCTATACTTACTAATGATTATTAGTTATCCTTTAACGTTTTGAGTACAGAATTTGTTTTTCTGTAGTAAAAACTTTTATAATAAAAAAATAATCCCGTACTCAAAGGGTTAAGCCGAGAAATAATTTCAGAACAAGATGTGTAAGTTTTTTTGAAAACACCTAAAACTCAGAGTACGTGTCAAAAAAATATTCATTTCAATTTCCGAATTCTACTTTTGATCAAGTGTCATTTTCCATATCGATTGTTGATGATTATATTTTAGCAGCTCAATGATATTTATGTAATGAAGCATAAATTCAACAAAACAAAATGAATCGGAGTGTGATGTGGGTGTGAGTGTTTGTGTTAGTGTTCTCTACACCAACCCATTCATACTCAAACCCAGTTCAATTAAAAAAAAAACAATTCAGCCGATTCTAAGTATGTCTAACATCATCAGCCACCTACCATTAATATCAAAATAAATCATTTCGTCATCAACTTTTCTCTCTTTTCGTTCTCAGCATTCAACTATGAATTAAAATCGTAGTAATTATTTCCATCAAATAAGGCCTATTTTGAAGAAAGAATGTGGATGCAAATTTCTATCCTAGATATTACAATACTCATTTTAGATTGAGTGTCACAAAATTTTTCAGCGAAGAAGAAAAAATCGATTTATTCGTGTACGATTCAGTCTGCTATGTTAATAGAGAAATGACACCACAATTGTCTTCCTGAATGTTAGTGGGCAACACATCGCTCGTCTTGTTGGCAGCAATAGATATTAGATATATAATTGAATAGCGAAAGACAGAAAGTCATTTGATACCTATCCACAATGAGTCATAGACCTATTCACTTGCGTGACATACCTAATGAAATAATTATTACTTATTATTATAAAAAACTAGGGTGTGGATGCGGAGACCTACCCACCCATATCCCACACTCATACCCACACTCACACCCACACCCTAATAAATATAATTAACCGGGGGTTTAGATTTTTCTTGTTCCTTTATTTTTTGCTTTGTTTTAATAATCAATCCATAAGTATCAAATTGTATCGATTAAAGAGACTGAAACTAAATCAAAATAAAAGGTTTCTTAGTTATTGAAAGCAATATTCACAGGATTAATCAAAGAATATCAATCAAGATTTCTATATGATGCTTGTCAATTGTATATATAGTTCATCAATAATTCAACACCAAACAAATTTTGAACGTTCATCTCTTAATGATATATTAAATTAAAAATAAATACTTTTTTTTTTAATTAGAGTCTTCTTTCAACTATATGTATAATGACTCTTCTCTGGTAATATGAATAAATGATCTTGAAATATAAAAAAGTAAGCTATTAACAATTTATGATTAGATTTTACCATGCCAATTGTTTTCAACATTGTAAAACTATTTCTCTATTAACACTACAACTTACTATTCAATAAAAAAGAACATGTAAGTCGCATCTTGTTTGTCATTTATGTTGAATGTTGACTGGAAAAATTTATTCTCAGCTAGTAATATTTATGATACTCTTTTAAAATGTAGGCATTTCATTTTATTGAAAATAAATGATCATGGCCAACGTACAAGGATAAAACAACTATCAAGTACCGCTCACAAAACAAGTACGATCATTTTTTCTTTTCATAGATGCTTTTTATCCATAACAATACATGCTTTTCATCTATTATATCAATTATAAAAAAGTCACCTGATAATGATGTTGTATATTCACTGGATAGTACAAACACGTCAAAAAATATGGTCTTCAAGGATATATACAGGAATATTATGCAAAACAAAGAACAAATACTGTTGTCTTATTCGATCATACTTATAAATAGACGAAACGGGGCACAGAAAAGTTATTATTTCTAAATACTCGTAATACGT